TCAGTGAACTCTCCATCACTCTTGTCCATGAGCATCAGGACTGCAACACATTCCCTCATCTCAGCTGCCGTTAATTCCAGCGAGCCCAACGCCTGAAGAGAAGCGAACTGCCTTCAGATCGGAATTCGAAATTGAGGTATAGTCTTCAATTTTGAAATTTAATATACGAGCCTACACCGTTTCAATTTCAAAATCTCAATTTCAATTCACTTCGGATTCACAATTTGCCGTTAAAAGAAATTTCTGCTAGTGGATATTTTTCCCGCTTGCGCCGCATTAATGGCGTGCACGACCGGTGCCGGCCAGTCGAGGAGAATATACCAACACCCATTGCCAATCCGCGTCCTACCAAATCGATAAAAATTCTAATATTTATCATCATTCGAATATACAGTCCGAATATATCCTACCCCTTCGCACTCACTTGTTGGCACGTTAGCACTATCGTTTCGGGCACATCCCTCCCGGCCTTATCCTGCTGCTGTAGTAAAGCTTCAACCGGCAACTTCGTGTCAGGACACTGAGCTCTCAGAGAGGCTATCTGCTCACGTAGCTGTGGTAAGTCCACCAGGTAATACCTAATACATTGGAGTTTCACCACCCTAGTGATATGAAAAACACTAGTGCAAACATATATTTCACGACTACTGCATATCACTGCAAATATCGCCTTTTTCACCGAGTTTTACGACACCACTTCACGTAAAACTGGTGGAACTCAATTCTAATAGTCCCCCCCGCATACACACGAACAATCACAGCAGCCTTCCTATGATACTACCGAGCCGCTCCAGCAAAGTCTCTCTCCTCCATTTTCCTCCACACCTCCTCCATCATAGCCAACAGCCTCTTGAGCTGCCTACCGAGCTCAAGCTCTGGGGTCACTTCTACGGATTTTTCTTCCACATCCTCCAAACTCGATTGTTCCACATCACGAGTAATAGCCAATTCACGACTCTCACCAGCAATTCGGGCCTGAGCACAGCTGAACTCGGTAAGAAAACTGCGATCATTTCCATTACCATATTTTCCATAAGCCGACTAATACCAAAATGCATCATTTTCACATTCTCAGTGCACGTGATAAGATCCCTATAGTGCTCAGCAGTAACTTGCCGCAGCTCCTCTCGCTTCTCAGCCGCTTGCAAACGCGTTGATGACAACACCGATCGAGCCGTCGTGATAGGGTAATTCCTAACCATCCAAACCACCACTGATTTAGCCTGTTGATGAACGCTTCACATCTGACTCGTATAACTCTGTTTCCAATCTACTAGTCCTCCTGCCAGTGTGGGAAAATATCAGCATGCGTTGGTGACAATATGAAAATTGTGAGGAAATTTCGGAAAATTCTTATTGGTTTCTGTACACTTCTACTCCAATTCATTGGTGA